CACCTAACAGCCGAGAGCTGCTGCCGTGCTCCCCGCCGGCGAGGCACGGAGCTCCATCCACACCCCGACACACGCGCCGTTGTCCTGCCAGGTCCTGTTCCAGTATTTCCTAGCAAACAGCGATGGCACTTCTCCGTGGGGACCCTGCCATGTCCAGCTCCGCAGTCAGCCGTGATGGAGACAGAGCAAGGAGGCAAGCAGCAGAGAGAACAGAGACCGAACCACCGACCGGCACGAGGCCGAGACCACTCTGATCAGGAGAGTTTGGCTTTTACCAACGCGCCTTTGCTCTCCGGCGGAAGCGAGACACTGATTAATTTTCACTGAACTCGCTCAGAGCAATTTTCACGAGCATTTGATTCAAAGTTAAACAACAAAGATCAGCAATAATACAACCATCCAGTGGGTGCATAATCACTGTTCTCGCCCTTCGAGTAATTCCCGTTGCCGTTTACGAGCTGCGTGACGGGAAACGGCCACAATCCGCACCAACGTGACTTAACTTGTACCCTGCTCCCGGCTGTGCACGGCCACGCTCCGAACGCGACGCTCAGCCACCGCTTCGGGGCTGAGTCTCCTCCCCGAGATGCCCCCGAGCCCACGGCTGGGCCGGTTTCCCTGCGTGGTCGGCGAGGGAAGGCAGCGCACGGGTGGCCAGGGAGGTGCTGGCGATGGCGCACGAGAAGGGCAGGGTCAGCAGGGACCTGGGGTCCCCAGGTCCTGCATCCCCCAGCGCCCAGCAGTACCCACCCGGGACCGTCCTCCAGCTGAGCATCCCGCGAGAGGCGCAACGCCTCGGGGTCTGGGGTCCGCAGTGCCCCCCGTGTCCTTCCCTGGGGCAGGCTCGGTGGGCACCGGTCCCCATCCCACCCCAGCAGGACACCTCTCGTGGTGCTCCAGCCCCGAATGGGCACCCACTGAGCACTTGGCTCACTGGGCAGTGGGTATGAGCACACAAAAGATAAAAACCTTCCGTGTCCCTTTCCTGAAATGGTGACAGTGACTCACGTGGCATTTTTTCTAATTCAAAACCACGCCAGGCGCTGAAGAAGTGATAAATAAGTCACCTGCTGCTCCCGCACCGTCACAGACACGGGCTCCCTCTCCGCCACCCCAGCGCTGCTGATTGTGCACCAGGCGCTGGGAACGCTGCCCCAGGAACACCCGGTTTTCTCATGCGCTCATCAGATGCTGCTTTATGAATACACATGAAGTACATACAGCTGTTTAAATGTGAGAAAAACACATTGTCCAAGGTAAGAACATGGAAACAGAGTGAGACTCTACCTATTTACAGAATCACAGCATGGTCGGGGTTGGCAGGGCCCTCTGTGGGTCCCCCAGCCCAACCCCCTGCCCAAGCAGGGTCACCCACAGCAGGGGGCACAGCACCACGTCCAGGCGGGGCTGGAATATCTCCAGAGAAGGAGACTCCCCAGCCTCCCTGGGCAGCCTGGGCCAGGGCTCCATCACCCTCAGAGGGAAGAAGTTCTTCCTCGGGTTCAGCTGGAGCTTCCTCTGCTTCAGTTTGTGCCCGTTGCCCCTTGTCCTGTCGCTGGGCACCACTGGAAAGAGTCTGGCCCCGTCCTCCTGACCCCCACCCTGCAGATATTTAGAGACATTTCTAAGGTCCCCTCGCAGCCTTCTCTTCTCCAGGCTGAACAAGCCCAGCTCCCTCAGCCTCTCCTCGCAGAAGAGATGCTCCAGTCCCCTCCTCATCCTCGTAGCCCTGTACTGGACTCTCTCCAGTAGCTCCTCATCTTTCTTGAACTGGGGAGCCCAGCACTGGACACAGCACTGCAGATGGGGCCTCCCCAGGGCAGAGTAGAGGGGGAGGAGAACCTCCCTCGCCCTGCTGGCCACACTCCTCCTCATGCACCCCAGGAGACCATTGGCCTTGGTAACCAGAGCACACTGCTGGCTCATGGTCAACTTGTCGTCCACTCAGCCGCTGGGTTTTGTTACGGCACATGGGAGGTGGGGGTTGTGGTCTCCTGATGAGAGAACTCGTTCCTACCAAAGCCAGAGCAAAGTCTCACCAACCTCACGGAGGCCAGGACCTCGCCGCAGGTCTGCTGGCAAACACCCTGCCTGGGAGAAGGAGCAGAGGAGAGTCAGGGGCCTCACTGCACCAAGCTCTAAAGGGCATTTCCCATCAGGCAACAATCCGTGCCTTCCTGCAACTCACCAAATGAAATGTTTTTTAGGAATCAAATGTTTCTCCTTAGGTAAAAAAATCTCCCTCATCTTACAAACCCAAGTACTGTGGTTGCAGTGTAAGTCCCCAACTAGCTCACAGCCATCAAACACCTGACCAGAAACGGCGTCGTATCAGATTTCAGGAGCTCTGTCGTGTGCTAACGTCAAAAAACCTAATATTCTTCTGAAAGTATGTAAGTGTGGATAATCCTCCACGCACACAACTTCAGTTACGTTCTTCGGAGAGTGCCCCTTCATGCAAGAGCTTCAAGTTCAATAAAAGAGGCCTCATAGGGTGTTCCACCACCTGGCATTACCACAGCTGCCAGGAGAACTTCTCTGGCTGCTGAACACAAAGTATACAACAGACCTCAACTACTTCTTTTTGTTAAGTACCATAACTTGTTACAGGATCTTCAGACAGCAATCAGAATCCCCGTTTAAATGAAGAAAAACACGCACATTTGTACTTTCACAACAAATGCACCTGTAAAGACACGCCCGCTGCTGCAATTAGAAAAAATAATCTGTAAATCCCCTTAAAAAGGAATTCAGTGGACTCGGTGAAGCACTCCCCCGAGCTACTCCACAGCCTCACACAGACTTTGGGCTTCACTCAGAAATAATGAGTTACTAGACTTAAAAACAAATCAAAGCCTCCAAAAAATGCAACCACAAACCTCCTTTCAGTTTTGATACTGTTGCAAAACATTTTGAAAGATGTTCTACAAAATTCTGATTACTCCAGAAACGCATATGGATAAAAATAAAAGAAGACTACATCCTGCAGGTAGTTTTTGGTATCGGTAGCATCTTTGTCAGCATTAAAATGCCAATTTTAAAATGCTGACAGCTTAATTATGAATATTTATAAGGTAGACATTGATATTTTTTAGCATTTTGAAACCTTAGAAATACAGTTTTCCTTGAAGAAAAAAAAATATTTCAGCTCTTCCAGGTGATCAGCCACACCAGAAGGCATTTTGTGAGATGCCACCACGTCAACCGATCGCTCTGACCATCTTCAGCTGCTCAGGAGATACAGCAAAGTCTGCGATGCGGTAACTCTTCTCCTCAGCAAATCTGCACTGGAAGCCAAATCTAGAACCAGTAAACCCTGGGATTATCCAACAGCTTATTCAAGCACCCACTGCTAATTGCGTCCACTAATTAACCCCGCGTGGACAGGGGTCGGAGGCGGGCGCAGCCGGGGCCGCGGCTCCGGGACTCACCCGTCCAACCTCACGTCCGGCAAGCTCCGGTTCAGGGCGATCAAGTCACTGGCCATCAGGTTGAACTGGTTGATTTTGAAGAGCTCTTTCATCTTCTCCTGGTCGTCCTTCGGGATGAGCACGGCCTTCCCCATCTCTCCGGGTCCCTCCTGGTTCCGAGAAATGACCGCTGCAAGGGGGGAGAGCGAAAGCCAGCGGTCAGCGGGCGGGCGGCCGTGCTAGCCCCCACCAGCGGCATCCAGCAAGGAACGTTCAAAAAAAGTAACACCACATCTCCATTTTCTCCACGCTCCACGGTGAGGTTTTAGCTTTGTCTGGATCCAAATTTTTACCTAGATCCTTTCTAAGACGATTAAAAAAACCCAGATTTGTTCACTTGAAGCTTTTGGTTGTGACCACAGTGGCAGTCAATGACCATTCTCAAGAGATCTACGCCCGGATTAGAGAGCGCAGCACCAGCCTCTCCGTGAGGTTCTGCAGATAGAAAAGGTTTGGAAAGCGCTTTTATAGCTACTGAAAATATTTGAAGAATATGTATTATTAAACTCATTCTAGCCAACTTTTAATTTTTATTTAGTGTTAACCACCGGGCATGTGATAGCATAATCCCATCCCTGCACATAAATAAATCCATCAATCTTGAGTGACAACAAGAAAAAAAATCCTGACAAATACAGCACCCCAACCCTGACACGGTATCTTTTACATATTATTAGAGGCTAGTTTTGAGAAATATTTGTACAGTCCGTTTTTAAGGAAATTCACAGTGCCATCTCATACCAGCACACAAAAATAACCAAGATACAGACCGTTTTTTGAGGATATGAAAAGAAAGGAAACATCTCCCACACACACAATTAATGACCACCACTCCTCCCAAGCACCAGGCCACCAGCACAGCACCGTCAGCAGCTCCCATCCCCACCCGCAGCCCAGCAGCAGAGGCAGCTCCTATCCCAACGACTCCTCACCTGGATGCTCCACCAACCAGCAGACCAAGAAACACCTCCCTTTTTAACTGAATTTACATTCACAGTTCAAACTGACCTCTTGTCTGAAGCCAATTAATTAATACTGATTAATTTGTCTTCCGTGATATCGGTCACTTGCTCCTCTCCTGAACGAGGGAAACTCGCGCCTCTGGCCCTGGGGAAGAAGGCTCGCACATCCTCACGGTGACCTTCACGCTGGGGATTTCTACACCATATTCCAACATCAACACTTTATCTCAAGGAAGGGAGCTTGGTTTTATTTTTTCCCCATTTATTTTTCATCTTTGGTATCAAAATTACTTGAAAAATTTGATGTTCAATATCCTGAAAGACCATTACTTATGAAAGCTTCTCTACTAGCTGGAGAATAATTAAACAATTTATTTTTTCAACCAAAAAAAAAAAAAGCTAGAATAATAAACCCTTTTCTACGAAATGCATAGGAAGTTGACTAAGCAGCTTTCTAAGAAAAAAAGCTCTGATTTTTCCAAGCAAATCCGACACCAGTGCTTGTGACAACAACCTAGCACAACTTGACATAAAGGGCTTTTTAAAAGTAAGTATTACAGACTCCTGCAGAAATTTTTTTTTTCTGCAGTTCTAATTTATGCTTCAGTTGAGCGGAGAACATTTCACGGTGTTATCTGATTTATTTTTTAGCCTTCCCTTTGATCAGAAGCAGCTCCTTTTTACACGCTGCAAGAGGAAGGAATTACCAGCTTTCGCTGTGATTACGCAGGAAGATGACGGAGGTGCAAATCTCAAACGCGCTGAGCCGGGAGCCCTGCGCGTCCGACGCGATTCCCAGGGACGACCGGAGAAGCGACGAGCCCCCTCAGAGCCTGCCGTCTGACAGCCAGTCCCTCGAGCCCCAAATGATGTCTACGGAAATAAATTCTGCCTCCTTTTTGCTGGAAGAGGCAGGGGGCACAAATTTATCTAAATCGCAGCAGGGAGCAGGCAGAAAGAGTCAGCCTGGCTGCTGAAACCATGGAAAAACAGGCAAGAAGCAGGGAAAGGAGCTCGGCCAACATCTTTCTCCCCGAGAAACAGAACAGCATGGAACGCAAGGAATTCCTCAGAAAAGGGATGAACATCCAGGACCTAATGTATGACAGGGGACATAATAAATGCTTATAAATATCTGCAGGGTGGGGGTCAGGAGGACGGGGCCAGACTCTTTCCAGTGGTGCCCAGCGACAGGACAAGGGGCAACGGGCACAAACTGAAGCAGAGGAAGCTCCAGCTGAACCCGAGGAAGAACTTCTTCCCTCTGAGGGTGACGGAGCCCTGGCCCAGGCTAACCAGGGAGGTTGTGGAGTCTCCTTCTCTGGAGATAT